GCTGTTTATATCTCCATGGTCATGGGTCGCCACTGCAGGCAGCCGCCATCTTGCACCGCCATCTTGTCTACAAAGGCTAGACTAGTTTTTGGTTCAGGTTAGTGTTAGCTATACTACTGATAAATACAAAGTTCTCAGTTTGATACAAGTACAAGGATGTGTGTGTACACGTCTGTGCCTTTACTTACATTTAAATGCACAGACATTTACTTATATACATAATGATTTATAATTTTGTGTCATTCAAACATTGTCTGTTTTATGTTTTTTCATCTAGACCATCATGGCCACTTGAAGGCAGCTAGGATACTCAAAGAAATTGCTCGATATGATCGTGACTGAATGGGATGAAGAGCCCATCGGTGGGATTGACTCAGGGTCTGACATCTCGGGATACAGGATTTTGTCCACCTGGACATGTTAGGCTGTCCGGGAACCAACCTGCCCTTCCGAACAAGATCAGTTAGACGCGGAGGAGTCCTCTGAGTACTTCAAAGAGGAAAATGATATTGTGTCTAACGGAATAAGCCATACTAACAATAATTTTTGAAGATTATTGATGTTATTTCTTGTGAAAAAATGTTATAAAAAGTTATGAAAAAGGCATGTTGAATGTAAAATTAGTCTTTTGTTGATCCAAATATAATAAATGTAATCACCTTTAACTACAATGAAAGACATCTTTTAAATTCACTGCAAAAAACATTCTAATTGGGGTCATTTTTGACCCCACTTATGGAAGAGTATAGGTACTGGTCGTYCATGCATCCTGGGGTTAAACTGGCCTACTCAGATATAATATACATACTTAAGTAAAATAGAATTACACTAGAAGGATAATTTGGTCACACTTGACCACCACACCATCACTTTAATGCCTGTTCTACCTTCCTTTGGAGGCTAAAAATCCTAACCACTTTTTAAACAATGCTGTCTTAAAGCACATTCAAACTGCTTTATTATTTGTAAATGCATTTGTAAAATTATTCTTACTGTCTGCACCTCACTCTGAGTRTTACACAAACTCAACTTCATATAAATGCAAAAATTAAAAGTACTTTAAGGCATTTCTCCTSTGTCCTCTTTGTGACTTCTCATCCTATTACGACTCAGCTCGGTTTACGAAGTTTCAGTCTTGCTGTTTATGGTACAGATCATTACCAGTATTGTTCATGTTTTCCAAAACCTATAATGTAGACTCTTTTTATGAATCACAAGATGACAAAACGTTGGCATATAACACCCTGAAGGTGGCAAATGTGACCCCCTAACATTTAAGTTAATTTTTTAACTTCCATGGCATCATAGATGTTGTTTAAAAAAACCTTCTGATTAACAACTACAATCAAATATATATAGAAATGTCACATATGTTGATGTTTTCTTAGTTTTTCTAATTATTATTACTTTTTTTATTCTCGTGTTGTCCTCTAGGTCACAGTGTACAGCTCCTCCCACTTGTCTTCTATTATTAATTAGCACACCCCATCTTCTTTTATACTCCTCAAATGTTTTCAAACTGTCYTCATATGTTCATATACTGTTTATTGTGTTCTTCTTTGCCTTTTTGTAATTAAAAGGTCTTGATAAAATCTTAAAACTGCCTCCTTCATGCCTGGATTAAGGTCCTCACATCTCATCTCATGAGGATAAAATAAATATGAAGCCATTTCAAGAATAAAATTTCTAATTGTTTAGCAGACATCAGCATTTGATCAATCAAAAGAAGACTTAATAATCATTTATTCAAACTAAATGAGCTGGGTGTCTTATTTGCTTAAGTTATTCTAACACGTACATAGCTCACATTAAAAAGTTGTATCTTCTTGGGCAACTTTCCACACATAATGTTTTTGGTGTGAGTTAGAACAACAACATGACCAGTGAGAACTGAACCTGTGCCATCTGTGGGGACTGACCTGATGTTTCAGTGGGTTAAAGTGTAACGTCCCGAGTTTAAAAGTGACTCTGACCTTGTCTTTGCACGCAATCTCATCCATAACCTGTCCTAATGCCTAAACTGTCTGTCAAATGTTTTAAGGGTCTGAAAAAAAAACCATAAGCGTTAAAAAAAAAAGAGCTGGATCTTCCTCCGAACAGAAACTAAAGCAGCATTTTCAACAAACCTTTAAAGAGTAAACCCACTTCCCCTCCTGCTGATTTAATTTATATCCACAGACTCCAGGCTTCCGGTGAGTTCATTAGAGTTCAGATGTTGCAATCGCGCCAGCAGGGTGTGCGTGTGTGTGTGTGTGTGTGTGTGAGTATTTGCTAACAGACGCGGAGGACAGCTGATGTCATGACTGCAAAACTAGATTTCCAAGCGTCTGAGTGACTGGCATGCCTGAGGTGGAGATATTATTGGAGAACAGCTTTGTTTTTGTTTTTTAATCACTTATAGTGGCAGCACACTCAATAAAAAAATGAAAATAAAAAAAAAACAACAAACTTCAAGTAAAAAAGTTACAAAACAATTTATTTACAATGAATTTCTTCTTCTTTATCCCTCATTGGTCTCAATCCAGCCTGTTTGTCTGCTCGGCCCTCCGCAGACACAAACACTTTCACAGTACAAATTAGAACTCAACCAATTTTGCTGAATCTGGAATAAAACTAAGGCTCAAAGGCGAGTTCAGCTGAACAATTTTATACAAACAGAAACAAAAGAGTTGATTACATATCATACATTTATATGTATAATATATACTGTATATTAAAAAAAACAATCAGTTCAAAAGAGCTAAACATCAGATCATACAGGAAAAGTACGACAAATGCAGCTTTGATTGTCATTGACGAGATAACTCGGACATTTGTGCTTTTTTTTTTGGCTCCACACTTTCTCACAGTTTTCTCACAAGTGTGTGAGACTAGAATAAGTTACGAGGCACTAATCTGATTTCTGTTTTGGAAGTTAAGCTGATTAAAACGAGATAACACCGTCACCTTGATCCTGAAACAGTAAAAACGAGTGTGCATAGTTTTGTGCGTGTTTACGGCGGTACTGATGCACGTACACACTGCTGCTGCCTGTAATGAAATGTTTTGATAAGCTGCWCAAGAAAAGAACAAAAAACAAGACTGCATAGGACATGGTGTGAAATAWATTTCTAAGGCACGTAAAGCTGCCTGTGTTGAAGCATCTGTCATTTTACATTGGATAGYTYCCTCTTTTTCATCTAGTCATCAGTCTTCCTTATTGTTGGAGCTAATTTCACATTTAAGTTGACAACTCATAACGTATAGTCCAGCTGACTGTGCATCACAACTCATAAACATGCAGACTGTCTAGAAAACCAGTTCTGTATTTCTTTTCTTGATTTTTCTCTTGGTTCTTCCCTCATCTTATTCTCAGTTTCACTCACTCAGACTTTCTGGATGAATTTCTCTTTACACAGACAACCAGTGCTCATTTAATCAATTCCCCTCAATTCACGTCTTTGAACTTTTCTCTTCTTCTTCTTCTTCTTCTTTTTTTTTTGTTTCTTCACGTTTCTGCACTTGTCCTCTTTTCAGTTCTAATACAAGTCCTTCATGATCTCCTGCAGCAGGGGGTGCAAGAACATGTCCAMCTCGGTCTTCTTCAGCAGCTCGATGAGGTGGACGTGGTCGGTGACGATCTGACGCAGGTCCGTCATCTTCTGGAGCAGCTTGGCGAACAGCTGCAGGGAGTCCGGGTGGCTCAGCTTCAGCTGCAGCTCCAGCGAATGAAGCACGGTCTCCTGGAGCTGCTCGATGGGCTTCACGTTCAGCAGGCCGGGTCGGTCTGAACAGGATCCAGAGACAGAAGGGAGAAATCAGCAACACTCAGGTTTGGGGTTCAAAGTGATATAATAAAAGAACAAAGCAATTTGAGTCAAAGGAGCAAAGCTAGTGAGGAAATTTTACAGAACAGAATATTCCTTTTTTCTAACTTTTTTTTTTGTAGCTGATCTGCATTATTGCCATTCCCACAAGCCTGCTTATCTTCACTTCAAGCTATATTCATTAATAGAAGTTAATATTTGACCTCAGAGTTCAGTTTTAATCTTCAAAGCCAGGCTTTTTATCAAGCAGGTTCACGCTAATGCCCCTGCTGGACATACGTCCTTCAGACGTGTGAGATGACGTCATTTCAGACTCGAAACATTTACATTTCATCACCTTTGCTTCTAAGAAACTCAGAGTGAGGACGGCGCCCGACATTCTGACGCCTCCTCCCACCTGTACTCTTCTTTTTACTATAAATCCTTTCAAATAGGGTAGAAATGTGCAGAAACAGGAGCTGAGTGATATCAAATGGACACGTGGTCGTCTGTGAAACTTCAGCTTGCTTGTTTTTATTTTTTTCTCTGTCACGAACAGGCTGCTAAGCTGTCGTTGATTCTCGCATCATGTGAAGCAGCGGCTTCCTATTGTTTCCACATAAAACCAAATGTTTCTCATGTATCCATTTATAAATGGTTCAAGGTAGAACACAAAGACTTGATGTTTCTGTATATTCACACCAATCTGCACTCATATCTTTCCCATTTATTCTAAAAAACAATTAAATTCAACAATTTAATTAACAATAATCACATTTCTGTGTATAAATTTCCCTTAAGATGAGTAAACAAGTCTGACACGTGTTAAACTGAGAAGAAGGATGCGAGTTCTTGGGTTTTTTTTTCAATATAAACCCGTAAGGGGACAGGTAGAGGTTAGCTCAGCTTCGTAGAAAACTGTAAGCGTAAAAAGGACATGGTGTTAGTGGTTTTACTGGGGGCGGTTTGATTGTGCCTTTGTTGTTTCAGGTCACAGCAAAGTTCAAAAGTTTTCACGTTTTTTCAGTCTTTAGTCAAACCTCAGCTAATCAGGATGAAACGAAACCTTGAACAGAACGAATTCTCAAATGTAGACGTAATAAATCATCCAAATAATCACACAAAATGCAGGTCAGTAAGACCCCATTTAATGACACCTGCCAAACACTCACCCCCGCTGAGAATAATAACAGCCAGGAAGAGCGCCATGTCGCTGTCGTCCAGCTCCAGCAGGTTAAACTTGACAGARAACTCAAACTTTGGTTCCATCATTTGACAAAAAGGCTTTCGGAGACTCTTGAGGAACTCCCGCGTCATAAAAATCTGTCCGTAAGAGATCAGGGTGCCGTCTTTGTTCATCAGAGGCGACATCATAATGATTAAGACTTCGATCACACCGTACTTCAGCAATGTTACCTGAAAAAAATAAAAATAAAATACAGGGATAATTATGATGATGATTTTGTTTAAAAAATGGAACTTGCGAATTATTCATATTTTACAACAAATGTGAAAAACGGTGATGTTTGGATGAAGTGCTGCTGATTCTCACTTGATCGTTGAGGTCCAGATCGATGAAACCCGGGATACTCTTTGCAAACTCTGTCACTTCTCTCACTGCTTCTGCAGAGCGTGACTGACAGCTGTGGAAGAACCGCAGCTCGACCATGTCGGGTGTTTGTCCAATGAAGTTTGTTCCCAAAGCGCCGCAGTCTGACCCTGAGTGAGCTCCTGGGATTCCTGAAACTGTGGAAAAAAGGTTTTAAAAGATCCAAAAAGAGGTGAATAACACAAAGAAGCAAACAAACTCTCTGTTGAAAACGTTTAAATTGCCAGATAATAAATTCCAAATTCTGTATGTAGTTTCACGACAAAGCAAAAGTAAAATAAAATAAAATAAACATGTACATTTGCTAAGTTTGAAAAAGCCACGAGAATGTGTAAATCTCTTTCTAAATCCTAGTCATTTGAATTCCTCTATATGATTTCTACTCCTTTCTTTGGCCACAAATCAGTGTAATTAATACACTATTTCTATAGTTCAAAGCCCATGAATGTATTTTCAATATCCTGATTGTGCAAAAGTCTTCAGTCATCTGTCATTTCTTAGTATTTTGTTTCAAATGAGCCAGATTTTCTAGTAATCATGCTTCTGATCAACAGTTCTTCAAGGCTTTCTTTAAACTTTAGCTGCTTTTTTTCTCTCCCAGTTTTAGTTTAGTATCTGAACATGACAGTGGACTMTGAAGTCTGTTTGAAAACTGTGATGAACAAGAAGAAAATGTATTGTATAATATTTGTGATTCACGTCATTTGTTTCATTGAAATCTTCTTTTCTTTACTTCTTTTTAATACAAAGATTAGTGCTGTAATCTGGAAATACTTACGTCCGTGCCCGGATGTAACTGTGGAGATCTGCTGCTGCTGCTGCTGGTGGTCTGTGGTGGGTATCTGCCTACAGTTAATAAACTGTTCTCCTTCCATTAAAGACTTCATGTCATGAATGACAAAAGGCTGCAGGAAGAGAAAGTGTTTAGAATTATGCAGAAAAAATAAAATGGTTAGTCATTTAGCCCTAACCCTAACATTTTATGGATACGTATCTCTGAGGGCTGAGCTCTAGATGAAACCAAACACACCTTGTCTGTACACTTTGGTCATGGCTCATGACTGCCTGCAGGAGCACACATCACACATCTTATACAGGAAAAAAWAATAATCCGAAGGTTGAGGCAGGCTAAAACATGACATTTTAGTTCATGGAGCTTAACAAAGCTTATATTTTAGTAAAACACTGRGAAAGACGTGTACCAGCCTGAAACAATTTATGAGCATAAAAAACTGTGTGGACTTTYCTTCATTTAGAACTTGTACTTAGTTCTGAAAAAGTTGAAATTATTAAAAATAAGAACATTTAGACAATTCTGCAGACGGACTGGGTCAAACTCTTTGTTCATTGCTTGCCTTTAACATCAGGAGAATTTCTGCAGATGTGTGCTCACATCTGGAAAAATGAGGGTGAGCGCTCGATGAAGCGTGGCAGGACATAATGTCAAAAAGCACACGGTTTCTTTTGTTGTGGGTCAGTTAAAGTGGATGAGGCGCCTCGAGGAGGCTTTTCAGGGAATCAGCTGTTATCGAGGTGCACTCTCAATCAAAACTAAATGTTTCAGAAAAATATGCTGCTGTTGTAAATGGTACTGAATGCTTTTCAAGTCCCTCTGGACCCCAAAGTGCTTTACACCAACAGAYATTCACCCATTCACACACTGATGATGGCAAACTACACTGTAGCCACAGCTGCCCTGGGGCGCACTGACAGAAGTGAGGCTGCMATGCASCAGYGCCACCGGACCCTCTGACCACCATCAGTAGGCAAGGTGGGTGAAGTGTCTTGCCCAAGGACACAACAACTGAGACGGCTGGACGGGGGATCGAACCAGCGACCTCCCGGTTCAAGAACARCTCACCTAACCACTCCGCCACAGCYGCTGTTTTGAMACATTATTTTACCTTCCAGTGATTTTACAGGTAGGTTTGGTATCTTAAAGTTTTTACCGTTTAAAGTCTATGATGCATCTGTAAAAACAGCTCATGCATTTTATGAACACAATTTCTTCTTTTACAAATGACAAATTATGAACAAACATAACAAGCAGAAAAATGGGCAGGAAAAAGGAGGGGGGGGGTTTCAAACATTTTTCCAAAATAATGTGTAAAGTATCAATTGAACAAAAATGATCATTGGCTTTTTTGAAGTTTTATGTTCTGAGAAAAAAAAGATTCTTCCTTTTATCCTCTCTGTTATCACAGACCAACTCATATCAAGGCCTTGCATGTTAAAAAATGTAAATATTCTACAAAAAAACAACAACAATAATTGACTCCCAATTTGTTTTAGGAGGTACACCGTGATTTGGTAAATAACCAAGGAGTGCCTCAAACAAAGAGATGATTCAGTGTCATTTGGTTCCTATCTCTGCTTCAAACAGTCAAAACAAGAAAAGTGAGGAGATGAAGAGCAACCTTGAACCGGTCACACACACACACACACACACACACACACACACACACACACACACACACACACACACACACACAATAAAGCTGAATAAAAGAATTCACTTCCAATGATAGACTGCCATAAATGTTACACACTCAGATTTAAAAGGTGAGCTACAAAAGCAGTAAAAGTCAGCATAAAATATTAAAATCAGATTTTATCTGCTTCTTTTTTTATTAATAATTCAGTTTCTTAGTGTACTTGGATKTAAACTTGTTAAATAAAATTTGTGTTTGGCGTTTTTCAAAGATTAAAAGCAACAACAGAAAAAATCAGGTAAGCCAAAATTTATTAAGCCATCAAGAATATTTATAATATAAAATGTTTCCCAGTTAAAAACAAATCAAATTTAAAAACTATTCTGATTCTTTTCAAAGCGATCAACCTGATCCAAGCAAAAGAAAAAAAAAGCCAGGAACTGACTTCACATTTCTACAATGTGAAGATAATCAGGGGCTTTTTAATTACGCCAAATTTAAAAAAAACTGTTATAGTAATATAAGCAAGAAGAAATGAATAGCTTAAATCTCTGACACCAGTATACTTTATTTCGAATGGTTCTCAAGAGGAAACAGTTTTGAACCAGCTGTTTGGAATGGCACATCCAGAAAGATTGATTGATTAAAGAAAATCCAAACCTAAAATTCCTGAGCGGATCAAACAAACCTAAAGAGCCAAGTGACTGCCTGAAATATCAAACCACTCAAGTGCGAAAACACAGAAATGGTTCTCTTTCCTGCCGACACATTTTCTCCTTATGGATGCACCATTTTCCAAATGTTCTGAAGAATGAGTTTAAGAGGCAGCATCGAAGCCGCTGCAGGACAGAGCACTAAAGAATCCTCCACTTTTCACAGCTCAGTCACTGTAATCTGAGATTTTTTTCCCCCAACAGTCAAGGAACGAAGAAACCAGTTGATCCACTTTTCCTGTTCGAGCAGCGATGATGGCGTGAAAAGACCTCATTTGCACAGAACTAAATGTTGTGACAAGAGGACAGCACTAGTAAAAAAGCTTCCCTCTACATGAATCAATAAAAAAATGTAGTTTATGGATTTATTTGAAGTCAAACAACTATTTTAAAGTTGAAAATCTTATAATGCTTCTATATGACCCTTAAAAAAACAAAAGTCAAATGTCGGCTGTACATCGCATTCACATGGGGCAGATAGAAAAGCACAACTGGTTCAGCAGCCCTGACTGGGGCAAGACAAGAATGTACCGTAAATGTCAATAAATCTAAAGATAACTGATGCCAGATACTTACAATCATAACCATGCAGGGAGGAAAGGGTTCAAGTGGAGGTCTAATATTAAACCCTCAAATTCTATCCAATTATACCTTTAATTAGAATAACTGACTAATCAATGTTTCTGCCCAACATTTAAACAAGAATCACTGACAGTGAAGTGGAACTCAGGCAGCACTCCTTACCACTTTTTCTCCTGTCTTCCCAGAGAGGATGGCCCTGGCCTTGGCCTTGGTAAGGGGGAAATATTTTAGATAGGCTTCGTACAGATGCCGGGCCAGAGCCCTCAGATCTGCTGCCTCCGGGTGCAAATGCTCCATGTCAGACGAGAATTCGGCCAGTAGTTTCTCCTTCTCCGCCTGGGGCATCCGGCCAAAACGAATGGCTGGGAAAGGAAACAGAAATGTAGGTTGAGGCACTGAGGCAAATTCAAAACTTCAGACTCAAAACTAATACACAATCCAGTACAGGTTATGTCTACGATTTTAACTGGTGGACATTTAAGTAACAAAAAAAAAACTGAGTCACAAATAGAAAAACCTCTAATACCATGTGCTCTAATACTCCGAAAAATAAATGAACAAAAGCCGACCTATAAACCTTTTTATCGTCACGAGTCAAAATCTTAGAAACAACAATTAAAACTTTTTTTTCTCTTTAGATTTGATTCCTGTAAGGAAAAGACAAGCGAAACTTGGCCCCACATTGTTTCATCACATGACAGTCGGCCTGTGGCTCCATCTTCTTCCTTCTTCTGACCAGTTAGCCAGATGTAAAATGTTGACATTATCCAAATCAAAGCTAACGCTAACATCTGTATCATTTATGCTCAGTCTGAAACTGCACTCAATCAAAAATTGTAAGGGTGTTTTGTTCAGTTTTCTGACAGATGCTTAACTTATCRTTAGACAGAACGGCTAATGTCCACAAAATGACCTTCTGTCTAAAGATAACGAGTAGTWAAAGCAAATAAAATAGAAATAGAGTAAAACATTGCATCAGACGGGTGACATGTTTGTGCTTTTTTCCCCCTATTTGTCATAAACTGTCCACGCCAACTTACAGCATCACAAACAGGCCGGTCGTTATCACATTTAATCACACAAAAGATGTTTTTGTAACAAAAYGGAAAAGCAGATTTCTGAAGAGGCTGCACCCCTGGCAGAGGCAAATGATCAAACTCCCACAAACGAGTCTCAGGGAAAACGTCAGCGAGAGGTCGGATCTCCTTTTACCAACGCATGATGAATGGTCCCGTTGAGTGTTTACGAGGCGTGTCTCGTGACGCATTACAATTATTCCTTCACCTTGATAATGCCTCGTTTCCACGGCTCAGTGAAAAACTATCTCATTTCTCCTCTCCTTTCCTTCCTTTGCAGCTGGGAATAATACACTGAACGCTTGCAAATCCATGTGCGGAACAAAGAAGGCCAGATTGATTTCATTTACAAAAGAGTGCTGTTTTTTTTCCCCTTTTGTTATGGAAATATCTAGATTAGCTCATTTAAAATTTAGGTGGGTTTGTTGGAACCAAATTTTTATTACAGTATTCAAAGCTTGACAAAGTCTTTTTATTAAATTTTTTATTACATAAATCTGCTTACAGAATCCAATTTTCGCCATGACGTAGTCAAAAAGTCTCATAATGGTGGAAATCATTAATAAACCCTCGCCTCCATTCAAACATTCGCCCTGTTTTTACTGCAACTTTCTGTGATTGTGTAACTCTGTTTGATGAATGCACACGTTGAGCAAATTAATACAAACTAAAGTGGTTCTGCCACTCGTTGGGCAAAGAGCCCGCAGCAGTGACACAGCATGTTTGAAGCGATCTGTTAAACTCTGAGACGTCAATCATTGATAAATTAAAAACCCAAACAGCGCACATTTTCAAAGCACCGACTGTAAACCAAAGGGACACGAGGGAGTGTGGAGGTGGGGAGAGAGAAGGAGAGATAAACAAACCAATTAAGACTCAATTCTGACAGTAAATGTGCCGAATTTCTGCTGACAAATCTGTGTTTGATAAAATGTATTTTTCACAGAGTCCCTGTTTTTGTTTTTATGAGGGCAGATTCTGAACGGAGAGCTTGAACTTGAAACTCTCTGGTCAAGAAGCAGCTTTATTTCAACTTTTATTGTTCCTGGCAGGAACAAAACAAATATCAGTTCAACGGAGAACCACATGAAAAGCTGTCATTGTAGCAAATTCAATATTTATTTTTGAAATCTTGATAGTTCATGTTAACAAAGCAAGGGGGTGAAATCAAAACGCTGTTGTAACCAAACAGGAGAAAAACACAAAAATAGAAAATTCTTCAAGTTTATTTTAAATATTGTACTTTAATAAAACTAATTGGGGGTTAGGGGTAAATTATGTATTTTCCAGGTACATAGTTCAATTCAATGCCACAATCAAGTAACTAAGTTACCATTAGCTGTTATGAAAAAGCTGTATTTAGCATAAATAAATAAATAAATAAATAAATAAATAAATAAATAAAATAAAAGCTGACTTTGCATCATAATTGTAAACGCATTTAAATTGGTCTCTGTCTTTTTAAGAACATCCTACTGTTTCTGACACTCCCACTTCAGCACATTTTCAGGGGTTTAGGGGTAGGGGTGTTCTGTGGGCTTAGCGGAGCTCTGGGTATGTTTTCTATGAGGGAATGATAATATAAAGTGATATAAAGCTTTAAAAAGTTGTTTTGCGTATTTCAAGCAAATACTGTAACAATTTTTCTTTACATTATGCTCAACTACCTTTCTATTTTTTTATTTAATTTTTTTTGCTTCAACTATCAAATTCTTGCATGGCCAAGAAAAACTAGGGTACAAATGCACTCTCATTTTGATAAAGTTAAAAGCAGAACAATTGGATTGGTTTTGTTTTTCTTTTTTTTTTTCAACTGATCACAACCTGGATGACTGAGACTCTTCACTCTCACTTTGACTGATTTGTATGACTAGATACAGCCTCGTTTTTCAGGTTGTGCAAATCCATACAAGTTATTATGACAAAGCAACAGTAGTTGAAACATTATTTAATTAATTATGTTAAATCAGTGACATCATGCACCTTTTCATTGAAGTTTGATCAAACGAGGAGTTGCAAAAAAAGTTTCTGACAAATCACCGGAGGTCAAAAAGTGAAGGCATTGTAAGTCGTTCCACCCTAACAGGTGCAACAAAACCAACAAGAGTCGAAGAGATGACGGTGAAGCACGACCCGAATGTGCTCAAGCTTCGTGATGAAACACACCTGAGGAGGCGGAGTCAGTCAGGCCTCAGTGACCAACAATGGCTCAAACAGTAAAACCAGTAGCTTAACAGTGGTGGGCGAGGAACAGGATTAGACAGAGTAATGTTGTAGTTTTCCAAGTAACACTTTGCATTTCAGTAATCTGTTTCACTTACTTAAACTGAAACACAGTGTGGCAGAAGAGAACAAAACAAAACAAAAACAGAAAAAGAAATAGGGATGATCTGAACACTCGTGTATTTCTAACAGAATGATTTTAAACGTCGCGAGTTCATCTAATACAGCTGACTGCAGAACTGATGGCTTCACAGGTGGTTGATGTGCAGGAAGCACGGGTTTTGCAGCTCGGCAGCATTCAAGCATTCATCTTCCCTGTCCTCCTGTGCATCAGTACAAACACTGGTGTTGATGTAAAATGGCTGAAAAATAAATTGAATATCTCTGGACTTTTTAAAATTTATTTTGTTAAATTAACTTAAATGTGAAATTAATAAAATGTAATAAATGTAATAAAATGTATAAATGTAATAAAATTTAAAATGAACAGAATGTGCAGAACAAATGGTGTGCAATAACTAAATAATATTCTGTAAGCTGACATTATTAAACAAACATATTTTTTGCCAGTATCATATTGTAATACTGTATTTCCTTATAATAAGAACTGAAATATGATTTTTATATAATTTGATAAGACAAATTAATCTGTGATTTTCTGTGTTCTGATGAGGCCACAACAAATTTTCTCTAAAAACAAATTTTTTTTACCTTTCCGTAATATACTGAAGTACAATGCAGATATTGTACCAAACATCTCATGAGAATTATCGCTGGTGGTTCTAAGTCCCACCATGATCATATGAAAAATAAAGTACCAAACCGAGTGCAAATGAAGCACTTCTAGGGGGGATAAATTTAGCTACCAGCCACAATCTAATCTTTAAAGGACATTTTTAAGGKTGCCACATTGAACTAAAGACAGGAACTGAAACATGACCCGAGGGTTGCTGTGAAGACCACAAGAGAAAAGACTGGCAACCTACAAGRCAGTGCAGTAATCTGCTACAGACGTTGCCACCACACCTCTGAGACTAAATTTGCTGCAGTGTGGCAAGCAGTGTATCTGTTGTTCTCAGGGGGCATCTGAGGGAACAACTGTTTTGTGAAGAGAAGTTTCCTTGACCACAACTTAAAAAAAAACTTCCTTGAAGCAACATTTGCTTATCACCCCCCACCACGAAAAACAGGCAAATGAGTATTTTCTGTGAATGTGTGTGAGCCTGTTCATCCATGTGTCTGCCTGTTAGCAAAATATCTCATTTAGCACTGAACTCRATTTAATGAGACTCGCAGGAAAAATAATGGTTGTATATCTACAACTGATGAACCTTTAGAGTAAACTTGATTCAAGTAGATCGCCACAATGAACTGACCCTAGTAAACATAAACATGGTTGTAACTTCRTTAGTTTTTTTTAAATCTTGTGTTAAAATTTGGTGGGGAAGTAGCTGAGAGTCATACCCATCAAGCAATCTGAGCACTAACGGATCACACAATATTTTTGTTTAAAACCTTAAACGGTGTTCCTTCAAGGAATATTACTTTCATTTACAGTGAGTGTACAATGAGCAAGAAAAGCAAAACAATAGAACAGAATTATACGTTTTTGCCCTATGGATGAATTGACTTACTTTTATTTTTAAAGTTGTTTGATTTAATAACTTTAATATTTTTGATTGATTGATTGATTGATAATACTTTATTGATCCCAAAAAGAAATTACAGTAAGTACAGTTTTTATGCAGTTAAATGGGTTTAAGACATACTGTAATCTTCTTACCGTTGTGTGACATGCCAACATTAAGGCACTTCTGAAAACGACAGTATTGGCATTTGTTACGGGACTTTTTGTGAATGCGACAGTGAAGATCACAGTGATCGTACACCAACTTTAGCCTGATGGTCCGTCTGAAGAAACCCTGCAAAAAGAAAGAGACACTTAATACACACATAGACATCGAAAACACTTATCGTGTTCTTCTGTTGCTTTATCCTAGTAATTCTATAAGTTACATTTTTGTAACTTGTAAAACCAGAGTGCAAGACTTTCTCAAAAAAAAAATAAACGATAAAAAAGAAAATTAAAATTAAGTCATTACTTATGGATCACATTAAGTCTTTAATGCACATGAAACACTATAATGTAAAAACATAAATTTCAAATAATTGATGTCTTCCTCCCATCAAACTTAAAAATCACCTAAGTCTTTGCATTTTACATTCACTTATTAATCTGAGAAGGAATAAATCATTCTTCTGACAAATTTATCTGAACACAGATTATGGTTCAGGGTGTGTTTTCACATTATTTAACCTTAGGACCAAAGAAGCCATAAGACAGATTTATCACAGCTATTAAGCTTGCAGCTATGGTCAACTACCAATACACACACACTCAATCAAACACTTTCTGATGACTAAAATGGTTATCTATGATCATTATAAAACCTGATGAACAGATGACCATAATTATGTGTAGTAGAATTAAAAGGAAAACTTTGAAATTGACATTTACAAAAATAAAAATTCATATAAGCTCAAAAATTCCCATTGGAATCCTAAAGGTTTGCTTGATTATTTATCTAATCTGCCAAGATCCAGATGTTTCTTTTTTTAATCATAGGTTATTTACAGAAGGAGGAAGTTAAAGGGGTCAAGACTCCACCTCAATAAAGAATGTTTTCTGTTGCGAAACAATTAAGAAATTGCCTGCTTGGCTGACCCCCCTCTTCTCCCCTGAGACTTTAGAAGAACAATAACAACTGTACCTTATCTTCATTCTGCCCAGAAACACACAGAAAGACAGCGGGACAGAAAAAAAAACATGTACCTTGATGCAATGCAGAAGTCCTAAAAGTTGCAAAAAAAGATGCCAGTTCAGATCTGTAGTTGTGGTTAAGGCTAAAGTTGGTGGTTGTTTTGCATTGGACTAAATTACATTTGAAGTTTTTTTTTGAGGAAGTTGCTAAACTTTAAATATATCAATGAAGACGAGTTCTACACAACACACATTATTCAAACAAGTCTACACTAAAACCTTTTTCTGCTCTGTTGAGCATTTAATTAGGGTTGCAAAAATCAAACACTTAAAGGAGACCAATTATGGGTCCTAGAAATTTTTATGGTATGTCTGTGGGCTATCCAGACCATGTTCATTCAATTTAATGCACAAAATAATTATCAGATAATAAAATTTCCCATTTTCTAGTTCTGCCTGCTC